GTATATATACATATATATATGTGTGAATATATATATACACACATATATATACACATATATATAAAATGTATATGAATCAAACAGAAATTTTAGAACTGAAAAATGCAACAAATCGAATTAAATATTTAGTGAATGGGTTTAATTTCACATTAGACACATTTGAGAGAAGACATATGAACTGGGATATAGGTCGGAAGAAACTTCAGAATCAAGCACAGAGAGACAGAAGTATAGCAAATACAGAAAAGGGAGCAAGAGGCATGAAGATTTGGTGAGAGGGCACAGCAAACACCTAACTGGCACCCAAGAACATAAGGAGAAAGAATGCAGAAGCAATATTTAAAATATAATGGTGGAGAATTGAAAGATTGAAAATAATGGAAAGATTAAGTATTAAAAAGCATTTTTATACTTTTTTAATCTTTGAAAAATCTTTTTAGGTTTTTTAAATATCTTTTGGGTCAAATCCCTAAAGTGTAAAATAATCACACAACAGAAGGGATCGACAATACCACATTTTGGCTCTTAGAAAAGACTGATGAAACATCCGATGAGACTGAAAAAGAAAAAAACAGAGAGAGAGAGAGAGAAAGCACAATTAGCAAATACCAGGAATAAAAAGGGACCTCAGTACAGATCCTGGAGGCATTTAAAAGATAATAAGAAGACATTATGAACAACATATGCCAAAAAATTGAAAATTTAGTTGCAATGAGTAAATTTCTAGAAAAACACAACCTATGGAGCTGACACTAAAGGAAGGAGGAAATCTGATCAGTTAATGAAAGATAGTGAATTAAAATGGAAAGCCTTCCGACAAAACGGAATGGAAATCTCCTGGTCCAGATGCTTTGAGTTACTTAATATTCGAAGAAAAAAATAACGTTAATTATACATAAACTGACCTAGAGATGATAAAAAGCAGTATTCCCTTTCGATGAGGCTAACTTAGTAATAAATTCCTACAGGGACATTGGAAAAGAAAATTACAGGCCATAAAAATCTTACTCATGGATATAGGGACAAAAATTTTTCTAAAAAATATTTAGCCAACTGAATCCAGCAATCTATGAAAAAGGTAATATATCATGACAAGTTGGGTTTATAACAGAAATGCGAGATCAGTTTAACTTTATAGAATTAATCAATGTAATTTATGGCATTGATAGATTCAGTGAAACTATGTGATTATCTTACTAGATGCAAAAAACAAAACATTTATGAAAAGACTCTCAGCGCATTTGCATAATAATGAAACACTGAACTTTTTTTCCTTTGATATCAGAAACAGGACAAGAGTTATTCACCATCATTTTTATCCAACATTGTACTGGGTTGTAGCCAATGCAAAAAGACAATAAAACTGATAAGGATAGAAAAGGAGTTAATAATTGCAGATGCTATGATCCTACATGTAGATTCTCAAAGAATCTACAGAGAAATTATTATAATTAACGAGTACATGAAGTTGATGGATATAACGTTATTGTTTATAAAAAATCAACTGCATTTTAAAATATAGGCCAAAATCAGTTTGAAAATGAAACAAAAATAATCCATTTAAGTAGCACAAAATATAAAATACATAGGAACAGAAAGTATCAAGAGAGTGAAAAGACAACTCACAGAATGAGAGAAAACATTCGAGTATTTTTTATCCAGAATATATAAATAATTCCTACGACGCAACCACAAAAGTCCCAGACAACCCAATTAAAAAAATGGGCAAAGAACTTGAATAGATGTTTCCCTAAAGAAGATAGACGAATAGTCAATAAACACATGAAGAGATGCTCAACATTATTAGGGAAATGCAAATCAAAGCTACACTATAATATTACCTACAATTTGATATCACTTCATACTCATTAGGACGGTCTATTATCCAAAATGAAAAATAAAAATGCTGGCGAGGATATGGAGAAATAGGAACTCTTGGGCAATGCTGGTGAAAACGTAAAATGGTGTGGACACCGGAAAACAATTTTGTGGTGACAATTCTACTCCTAGGCATATACTCAAAAGATTGATTGATATCTGTACACTAATGGCCACAGCAGCATTAGTAACAAGAGCCGAAAGGTGAAAACGATCCAAGTGTCCACCAACAGATGAATGGATAAAGAAGTGCAGTATGTACGTATAATGCAATGTTATTATTCAGCCATTATTCTTTCTGAAAAAAGAATTTCCGAATGAAATTCTGACACAGGCTACAACGTGGATGGACCTTGAAAACATTATGCTGAGGGAAAGAAGCCAGATGTAAAAAGGCAAATACTGTATGATTCCACTCATATGAGATACCTAGGATGGGCAAATTTATCAAGATAGAAAGTAAAATAGTAGATCCCAGGGCCTGGGGGAAGAAAGAGTGGGGAGTTACTGCTTAATAGGTATGACTTGTTGTTTGGGATGATGGGAAGTTCTAGAAAGTGTGGAGAAATAGAAACATCGATGCACTGATATGCACTGATGCACTATTTGTGAAATTGATACATTGACAAATAGTGTAGCATTAGCAAAGTCAAAGACACACGTACCCTATGACCCAGCATTTCCACTCCCTGGTATATATCCTAGAGCCAAGGTTCCCTGGGAGATCCCCACACTTCTTTCAGGGCACCTGATGCAGGCCTAAACCTCTGAGCTCTGCTCACCATCTGTCTGTAGCAGCAGCACCAGACCCTGTAGCCTTGCTTGCTACAAATGAATACATTTGATTTCCAGTAGGTAACTCAGAGAAAGTATTTTTCCAACGGCCTTTAAACAGAACTAGAGGAACTCTAGAAAACTCTTTGTTTCATCTTGAAACTAACCGTGTGATGGGGAAAGGACATGGACAATATACCACAAAGCAGAACAAGCCTCTGTTTGGCAAGGACGGCAGTCCGGGCAAAGCTGTAGCCAGGAAGAGGGGCTGTCCTTGCATTCAAAGCTCAGGGGAGCCATGCGTTCTATGTAGCTTCATTCTTTAGAACTTTTTATTGTAAAATATAACACAAACATGAAAAAGTACATTAAAATAAATGAATTATGGTAAAACGAAGCCCCACAAAACCAGCATGTAGGTCAAGAAATAAAACATTGCCAGCACCCCAGAAGGTCTCCACATGCCTCCTCCCACTCCAGCGTGACTTCTGTAGCAATCACATCTTTGTTTTTCTTTATATGTTTAGCACTGAAGGATGCCTTCTTAAACGTGAATACACAGTTTTGCCTGTTTGTGGTCTCTGTATAAATGGACTCCTGTAGCATATATTCATTTGAGTCTGGTTTCTTTTTCGACATGGTTAATTATATTAGGATTCACCTACGTCGCATGTAGCTGTTTCTGCTATGACTTTTCTGTACACAGTACATGTCTCCTGGTGCTCATTGCTGACAAGCATGTAAGGGCTAGGAAGCCAACAAGCTCCACAGTGGTTTTCTAAAATTCTACTTTTAGCTTGAAAGCGGAGAGTTTTAAAAATGAAATTCCATTTTTATTTGAAGGAAAAACTGGGAAACGAACGCTGGATATTCAAACTGGAACGCTTGGCAGACATCCTCTTGAAAATGAGTGAAGTTAATCTGTCACTCCAAAGAAAGCAATGGACAGTAGTTGTTGCCGATGACAAAATGTTGAGCTGCTTCTTGTTCTTCTTGTTCTTCCTTCTTCCTTCTTCCTATTCCTCTTTCTCTCCTCCTCCTCCTTCTTTTCCTCCTCCTTCTTCTACATTTTAAACCTTTATTTTAAACCTTTATTTTCATCTAGATTTGAAATTCACATTGACACCATATGTACATTTCAGCTTCTTAAAGTATAGGCTAGCTAGTTTGAGGTTTTCTCTCTACGTCCTTATTTTTTAAATTATTTCTTTTAAGTATACGGTACATTGGTTAGACATTTACATAGTTTACAAAACGTGTCCCCCGGATTACTCTATCATCCTTAAGGCTCTACACATAGCCATTACATTACTGCTGACTGGGTTCTGCTTCTTTAACTTCACCATATGTTATAGGCATCATTGTATGTCAATATTTTTAAATAGCTAGAGAGTAATTTGTTATATGGATGTACCACCATTTATTGAACCAGCCCCTCGCTGATAGATATTTAGGTCATTCCTGATTTTTTTTTTTTGCTTAGTGAGTAAGCAAGATCATGGACTCTATCACTGAGCTTTGTAGCGGGTAGGCCCCTGGTTTACTCATTGATGCATTGTAGCTCCAGCTCAGTGTCCAAGATGTAGCAGGTGCTCGACAAAATGATTGTGAGATGAACACATGTTGTATCAGTTCGAGCACAAAGATAGGATTCTTCCTGGAAACTCCTTAGGCAAAGGGGCAGACAGACGGTGTGCTGAGCCCAGTGGTTTAGGCCCGAATCGAAGTATATACAAATCCCAGCTCTCTCACATGTATGACTTTAGGTAGCTATTAATCTTTTTTTGCTTCAGCGTCCTCATCTATAAAATGAATACAATAATGGCACTAGCTTCATTAGGGTTGCTGTGAGGATTGAACAATGAATACATGTAAATGTCCCAGTATGGTCCCAGCACATCAGCACTCATTAACTAGTAGAATGTGATCATCTCAACTCACCCTAGTTGTAAATATGCAGCAAAAATGATGTCTCTCATGGGGTGACAACACAGGATCCAGGTCTTTCTGGCCCTTGCTTTTATCGTTGTTGTTGATTTTATTTGTTTTTGTAGGGGTCAATTTTGCTCTTGAAGAATCAGCTGTTCCCTTAAGGAGAGTATTTATACTCAGAGTCTATCACCATGGAGACGGTCAACACTAGGGAATCCAAGATCACGTCACCTCTCCCTGGAGACTGAAAGTGAACTCTCGAGGCCCCTTTATGCTGTGAAGTTGGCAGGGTGTCACCCTCAGAAGAGTGGCTGTGAGGAAAAAAGCCACCTCAAATTCAGCAACCTCATAACATCTCCCTGCCCCCCAAACCTTAAACTGTGTCAAGTCAAAGAAACCTGAGGTGAACCCTCACCATGCAGTTTTTGACTGCGGTGAGCCCACAGTCGTTCTATACTCCAAGCTGGAAGACTGAGGCCAAGTATTCAACCAGAGTGCTCACTGGAAACTGGGTGGAAGAGAGGAGGAAGGTAAGGAAAGAGAGAAGGTAGACAGAGGGCTCAGAGGGAGGACTGGCAGGGAGGGGTAGGACTGAGGTCATTACTATTTTCAAATCAAGGGCCATAGATGGTTGCATCTTAAGAATGTGGCATTAGGGTCTCTGTGCTCTACATAGGGGAGTTATATTCAAGCAATCATCAAGGTCCCCATTGTATCTTGAAAACACCATAGAACATTAGGCAATATAGTTTTGACCCATAATACTATTTTCAGTGGACTGTTTCTAGGCATCTGATGGTCCCTGCCCCTAATTCTTCTGCACCTTGATTTGAAGAATGTCTGCTCTCCCTTACCTGGCCCTTTCCAGAACGTGGTACCTGCCGAGGCAGGCTTAACAGTCCCTGAACTGAAGTCTGGGGAGGAACTGCTTATTCTCTGACACTTGGTCCACAACCTTGCCCTTCCTGTGCAGTTCAGTTTTTACTTTCAAACACAATAAATTAGTTTTTGGTATCCCATGTACTTTAAAGGACATTACAAAATACTTAGCTTGAATTGGCCTACTTAAAACTAAATATCTTCATTTGTGGCAATCAAGACTTAGCCACTTAAATTTTTGCAGAGACATCTAGATAACCTCATGTCTTCTTGGGAAATGGGCAAGGAAATGAGGGTGAACTAGTTCTAGTTCTCTTCTGAGAACTAGAAAAGGCTGTTTTTATAGAGGACATTTGCTTTCACCACCCCTCTGGACAGACATGGCCTATAGCCATTGTTAGATCTGATTGCATTTGGCCTTGTGTGGAAAGCTGGGTGTGTCAGTTCCAAGGGCAAGAAGGACTGTCCCACTAACCCCTTCAGGATCCTGTGGGCAAGGCAGTACCCAGGGATATTATGGGCTGGTCCTCCACCTAGGGGAGATTGCATAAAAAAAATAAGTTCGAGTGATGTAAGAAATGTGGCAGATTAAGAAACTCCAGGTCCTTGTTTTTCCAAGGAAACATTTAAAAATTACTATCACCTAGCTAAAATAACTATGTAGGAACTCTGGAAAAACACTCAAAGATCTACAGTAGCCAATCAAATGCCCAGTTGAGAAAAAGCCCCTTTCAAAATGGTAGGAAATTCCATGGTATTTTTACTCCCCCTCCCCCGCATTTCCTCCCCATCACAGCACAGAGCCACATGTGAGAAGCAGGGCCAGACTCCCTCTCTCCACCCCAGAGGGCATAGAGAAACATTTTCACCTGCCCGGGGGCTGCCTGAGGGACTGATTGCTGTTTTGCATAACTCACAACTCAGATAGGGAAAAGTGGTATAGTTCATATTTCAGGCTAAGAAAAGCTGTGAAAAGCAGTGGTAGCCACAGCTAGGAAAAGCTGCCAGGGGACTACAGACCTAAACATGACTGAGGCAAGAGATTACAGGGAGAGAAATATGACAGAACATCTAAAGCCCTGAGAAGCAGCAGAGAAGAGACTCTGGGAAATTAAAGCATTTTTAAAGAAGCCATGTATATAGAGAAAACGCACACACACACACACACACACACACACCCAGGCAAGAGGCATGCTCAGAGAAGTCCTGAGAAGAACGTAAACCTTCACACCAGGCTAATTCCAAGGCTCAGAACCTGCCCTGCTGGTTAGTAGAGATCTTCTTTTAAGTGGAGCAAAGTTTAAGTTGCAAAGACTAGGAGATGTGACTGTTTTTTCAAATGCCCAATGTTTACCAAAATATCATAAGGTATACAAAGGCACAGGAAAACGTGGCCCATTTAGGAAAAAAATAAAGTGGTAGAAACTGTTCCGGAAGAAACATAGGCATCAGAAGTATCTGACAAAAACTTTAAAACAGCTGTCTTATACTTAAAGAGTTGAAAGAAAACATGGACAAAGAACTATGGCTGACCCTTGAACAATATGTTAGGGGTGTTGACCCCCTGGCCCCTCCCCTACCCCGTTCAGTCATAAATCCATGTATAACTTTTGACTCCTCCAAAACTTAACTGTTAATAGCCTACTGTTGACCAGAAGCCTTACTGATAACATAAACTGTCAATTAACATGTATTTTGTATGATATATGTGTAGACATAATATTCTTACAATAAAGCAAGTTAGAGAATGTAAAATGTTATTAAGAAAATCATAAGGAAGAGGAAATATATTTACAGTACTTATTAAAATCATAAACAATACTAATATCATAAAAAAAATCACATGTAAGTAGACCCATGCAGTTCAAACTCGTGTTGTTCAAGGGTCAAAGGATATCAGGGAAATAATATATGAATAAAGCAAGAAAATCAATAAAAAGATGGAAATTATGAAAAGGGATTAAACAGGAATTACGGAGCTGAAAAGTACAATAACTAAATGGAAAAAATTCGCTAGAGGCATCCAACAGTAGATCTGAACAGGCAGAAGAAAGATTCAGAAAACCTGAAGACAGATCATTTCAAATTATTGAGTCTGAAGAGCAAAAAGAAAAAAGGTTGAAGAAAAGTAAACAGAGCTTAAGGACTTATGGGACACCATCAAGCTGACCAATACACACTTTGTGGGAGAAAAGAGACAATGAAAGGGGCAGAGAGGTTATTTGAAGAAATAATGGCTGAAAACTTCCTAAAGTTGAAGAAAAGACATAGATCTACAAATATAAGAAGCTTAATAAATTCCAATAGAATAAATCCAAAGAGACCACCTCAGAGACACATTATAACCAAACTGTTGAAAGTCAAAGACAGAGAGAATCTGGAAAGCAGCAAGAGAAAAATGACTCATCACATATGAAAAGCCTTTCTAAGATTATCAGCAGATTTCTCATTAGAAACCTTGCATGCCAGAAGGCACTGGGGTGATATATTTAAAATGTTCAACAAACAAACAAACAAGCAAACAAACAAACACTATCCACTGAGAATACTATAGCAGCCAGCAAAACTGTCTTTCGAAAATGAAGGACACAAATGAAAACATCCCCAGATAAACAAAAGCTGAGGGAATTCATTACCACTAGACTTGCCCTACAAAAAAATGCTAATGGGAGTCCTTGAAGTTAAAATGAAGCAATGCTAGACAGTAACGCAGAGCCATATGAAAATATAAAGTCTTCTGGTAAAGATAAATACATGGACAAAGATAAAAACCACTATTCCCATAATTTTGGTTTGGAACTCCACTATTTTCTACAGGATTTAAAAAACAAATGCATAAAAATAATTATAAATCTATTTTGATGGGTACACAATATATCAATCTGTCATCAATAACATGAAGTGAAAGAGGGTGGAGCTGTACAGGAGTAGAATTTTTATATATGAATTAAGTCGAATTGATATCAACTTAAAATATATTGTTATAACTTTAGAATATTATATGTAATACTTATGGTAACTACAAAAATATTTCTAGAAAAGACACAAAAGGAAATGAGAAGGAAATAAAAATGTACCACTACAAAAAAATCAACCAAACCCAAAGAAAGACAGTAATGGAGGAAATCAGGGAAAGAAAAACCCTGTAAGACACAGAAAAAAAGATAACAAAATGTCAAAAGTAAGTCCTTCCCTAACAGTAATTACTTTATATGTAAGTATATTAAACTCTCAATCAAAAGACATAGATTGGCAGAATAGGGGAATGAAAACAGTATCCAACTGTATGCTGTCTACGAGAATGTCTTTAAATTTAAGACTGTGCATAGGTTGAAAGTGAAAGGATAGAAAAAGATATCCCATGCAAATAGTAACTGAAAGTGGAGTGACAATACTAACATCATAAAAAATAGAATTTAAGTCAAGAAATGTTAAAAAAATGTTATAATATGTATTGAGGAAAAGGTCATGAAGAAATAGAAAATCTGCATAGACCTGTAACTAGTAAGGAAATTAAATTAGTAATCAAAACCTCTCAAAAAATAAAAACCCAGGAATAGATGGCTTCACGGGTGAATTCTACTTAGCTTTTAACTACCTTAACATAATAAAGATCATATTTGAAAAGCCCACAGCTAACATCAGAACCAATGGTAAAAGACCAAAAGATTTTCCTCTAAGACAAGATACCTTCTCTTGCCACTTCTTTTCAACATTGTATTAAAAGTTCCAGCCATAGCAATTAGGCAAGAAAAAGAAAGAAAAGGCAAAGGTATCGGAAAGGAAGAAGTAAAGTCATCTGTTTGCAAATGACATGATCCTATATGTACCAAACCCTAAAGACAACACACACACACACACACACACACACACACACACAAACTGTTAAAACTAATAAACAAATTCAGCAAAGTAGCAGATTATAAAATCAACATCACCAATCACTTGCATTTTTATATACTAACAATGAACAATCTAAAAAGGAAATTAAGGAAACAATTCTTCTATTTATAATAGCATCAAAAAGAATAAAATACATAGGAATAAGTGTAACCAAGAAGGTAAAAAATTTGTGCACTAAAAACTTAAAACCATTATTGAAGAAATAAAAGAAGACAGCAATAAATGGAAAGATATCCTGTGTTCATGGATTGAAAGACTTAATATTGGTAAAATATCAATAATACTCAAAACTATCTATTCAATGCAATCTCTATGATTTTCTTACGCAGAAATTTAAAAATCCACCCTAAAATTCATTAGGAATCTCAAGAGACTCTGGATAGCCAGACAAATCTTGAAAATAAGAACAAAGTTGGAGGATTCACATTCTCTGATTCGAACTTATTACAAAGCTATAATAATCAAAATAGTGGGATACTTGTATAATGGCAGACATGTAAACCAATGAAATAGAATAAAGAGTCCAGAAATAAACTCTCACATATCTGATCAGATGATTTTAACAAGGGTGCCAAGACCATTCAATGGAGAAAGGACAGTCTTTTCAACAAATGGTGTTGGGAAAACTATATATCCACATGCAAAAGAATAAAGTTGGATCCTTACCTTGTACCATATGTAAATATTAATTCAAAATGAGTCAAAGACCTAGATGAAGACCTAAAACTATAAAACTCTTAGAAGAAAACATAGGATACTAAATTTGGCAATGATTTCTTGGATATAACACCAAAAACATGGGCGACAAAAGAAAAAATAGATAAATAGAACTTCATTGAAATTAGAAACTTTAATGCATCCAAGAACACAATCAACAGAACAAAAAAGCGGCACATGAAATGGGAGAAAACATTTACAAATCTTATATGTGATAAAGGAATAATATTCAGAGTACATAAAGAACTCCTACAACCCAACAACAACAAAAACACCCCAATTAAAAGTTGATAAAGAACTTGAACAGACATTTCTTCAAAGAAGATAGACAAATGGACGACAAGCACATGAAAAGATGCTCAACATCATTAATCATCGGGGAAAAGCAAATCAAAACTATAACGAGATATCACTTCACACCCATTGGAATGGCTATTAGAAAAAGAAAAACAGGAAATAACAAGTGTTGGTGGAGATGTGGGGTTGGTGGAGATGTTGGTGGAGGATGTGGAGAAACCGGAATCCTTGTGCCTTGTTGGTGGGAATGTAGAGTAGTACAGCCATTGTGGTAGACAGTTTGTCAGTTCCTCAAAAAATTAAACATAGAATTACCATACGACCTAGCCATTCCACTTCTGGGTATACACTCTAAGTCATTGAAAGTGGGATCTTGAAGAGAAATATTTGTACATCCACATTCATAGCAGCATTATTCACAGAAGCCAAAAGGTAGAAGCAATCCAACGACAGATGAATGGATAAGCAAAATGTGGCGTATACATACAATGGAATATTATTCAGCTTTCGAAAGGACAAAAATTCTGACATATGCTACAACTTGGATGAATCTCGAGAACACGATGCTAAGTGAAATAAGCCAGTCACAAAAAGACAAATACCATGTGATTCCAGTTGCATGAGGCACCTTGAGACATAATGCCACTGAAGTGTACGCTTAAAAATGATTAAGATGAAAAATTTTGTTATGGGTATATCACCACAATAAATTTTAAAAATATCGATCAGAAAACATAATGTAATGGGGGAAAAGAGTGAGTTGGGGACAATGAGGGACAAAGAAGAACAAGAAAGGGAGGAGGCAAGCGGTGGGCAGGAGCACGGAGAGAGAAGACGAGACAGGAAGCAGGTAGAGACCGCGAGGCGCGATCAGGTGACACCAACAACAGCTTTCCCACGGGGGCTTGGATGGCGGGGCGCCACGTTTCTGAGCACACTTCCTTTCAAATACTAGAAGCTGGGAGGGTGAGATTAAGCCTGTATTACGCAGGATGCCCTGGGGTCTGTATTGCCCCTTTTCCTGCCCAGATTCCAATGGCCCAGAAGGTGAGGGCTTGCAGCAGAAGTTTGCGAAGGGACATCCAGAAGCTGTCTTGAATATCTGATCTTTTCCAGTTCACCAAAGCCACAGAGAAAACCCCCCAGTGCATTCACAGGAAAGACTACGTCCCCTTCCCCGGCCACAGACCGGACCAGATCTCCAGGTGGTATGGGAAGAGGAGAATTGAGGTAAGAGGGAGTGGGGGTCCCACACTTGGGCTGGGCCCCTCCCCAAGCCTCAGGAGACCCCACCGGCCACCTTCTTCTGGGCCCAGTTCCCTTTAGGGAACGCAGAAGGTAGTCTCGTGAATACCCTCCCAGTCTGGGGGCTGAGAATAGCATTCGCCCTTATTGACCTGTTCGGCAGAGGTCTGTCCACTCTCAAGCTGGGAGCACTTTCCAGCATCGTTTCCCTGCTTCCTCCACACACATCCAACAGGACCCAGGCTACGGCTGTGGGAAACACACACAGACACACACGCGCACACACACACACACCCCGTGTGGCTAGTATTGAATTAAGGTGACTACAGTGGGGAATCACATAAGCTGCTCCGGTAGCAAGTAGTGGTGATGTTTCGATGACAGCGTTTTGTGTCATCTCTGCCCCAGCTTCCTGTTCTTTTGAATAGAAAGTCGAAGACCATTCGGCAATCTTTCACCGACTGGGCGGTCATGCATTTTGTTGATCCAGGCCTCCGAGCAGGGAGCAGGGCACAGCAACCTCAGGACACCCTCTCCCACCTTCTAATCCCACACGTGCCTGAACTCAGGGTGGGGGCAGGAAGGCATAGAATGAGGAGTGGACGTCTGTCAGAATGGGAGCATTTCGGAATTGATTTTCAGATCAAAGTGTCTCGTCTAGAGCCGTGTAGCTGGTTGGGAAGTAACTAAGCAGGTGGCTGCTCTGCAAACCAAGCAGAGAGCTCTCAGACCTCGTCATCATTTGCTGGGGCTGAGTCTCCGTCTTCTGCCTTTGGGGATTTGTGTCAGGATAAACCTCCAGAATTTCAGTTCTGCGCTGGCACCCCGGGGCCGTGCTGGCATCTCTGGTGGGTGCTGGCATCTCCAGGCCGTACTGGAAGCCCTGGACCACGCCGACATCCTCGGACCATGCTCTGGCACTGCAACTTTGCCAATAGTGTGCACCGAAGATGCACGTGGATTTCAATATGAGGAAGTAAAAATTAGAACCCACGATCCAAGGCTTCCGGGCAGCAGCCGTCTGGGTACAATGAGGCATTTAGCATCATCCTCAATACACACTAAGTGCCTTTGCTTAAAGACCTTTGGACCCATTACAGACCCTGATGAAGAGATAACCACACATACATACGGTCTGGCTAAAATTAAGACACACCCTCCACTCCAATGCACACATGAAATAGAACCAAGCAATTGGATATCCGTTCTTAACAGCTCTGTTCAAATGGCCTATTTGTGTGGCTGCTTCTGCCCCCAAAGCTCTTCTTAGTGCTTCGTTCTGCACCCCGCCCCGCCTCCCCCAGGACAGCTTCCCTTTTCATCTGCCATCCCTCCTCCTCTTCTCCCTTCTTAGGCGAGGGCTGATGGGCTCTTCCAAATGACCTTGCATAGAGGAGGTTATCATTCCCCAGGGAAGACCCCTTCCTGTGCTTTTCTGCAGGCAGCTGTATTAATCAGGTTTTTTGATGCTTTGCTATCTTAGGGGCCTGGCTAATGCTGGACAGACTGCCCCCCAGGGCTACCTGATTCCTAGAGACAGGAAATGACTTGCCTGTCCCCATGTCTTTCAGATGCAAACCAACCAATCCAGAACCTATGTCTCCAACCACCTCCTTTAACTCACACACCAAGCCAACATCCACCTGCCTTTAATCACTCCAGGGCCAGGTAGCCATAACTGGAGGCACTTGTACACCTGTAGGACCCAGAGTCTGCTGAAATTATTCAAACCGTGCAATCCTAAACTTCTCAAATTTGCCTATCCTGCCTCGCCCATTCCTTCCCTTGGAAAACGCTAGAAGGCTCTGGGCTATGTTCTCTCTTCCTTCTGCCTTCTGCCTGACAGCGGCGCTTCCCCACGTGGCCCTGTGTCGTGCGGCATGACCCTTCCTCTTGAGATCTTACGGTCTTCTTTCAAAGGCAGTTGTCTCTGTGTATGCCCCCTGACCATACCTGATCAAAACAAAAATCCTGGGAACGTAATCAAGACAGCAGGGCTGTGCCCCCAACCAAGAGAAACAGTAAGAATTCCTCTTGGCCTCTCCCCTTTTCTCCCCAGGACTCCCCTTGGTTGATGGGAACCTCTTTGACTTGCTTTCCCTGGCATTGGCAAAACTCTGGGCATCTGGTGGTGGAGATCTTGGGAACCCCTGCTTCATGTCTGCGCCCAGCCTCCCGTCTCCCTCTGGCTTTGTGATCTGACTTATTTATGGAACCACCACTTGAAATATTAGATGCAGGCGGCATTTCCAGACCGCAGCAGACACAGACCTCCCTTTCTGCCCCAAACAAGAGAACGAGCATGGGAATCAACATTATCTTCCCCTGTAAATCAGCCCTGTCCACCAGGATTTTCAGCCAAGGCCAAGAGGATTTTCTTAGGAAAAGCACTGATTCAGGCAAAGGTCCCACAGTAGGGAGAACATGGCTTTCTTCTCTCTGTAAATAACTCGCCACCAAAGAGTCCCCGAGTTTCCAGCTGAGGTTGCTGTAAATCCTTTGCAGGAGAAAGCAATTTACGGAGCGTTCTCTGGCTCTTCCCATGGTAACTGATTGAAATACAAGGCGCATACGTCAGGCTCGGTATTGAACATCTTTTACTTGCCGTGGAAATAGGCACTTGAATAGATGAGACTTGAGACAAATGTTGGATAGATGAGACTTGAGACAAATGGAAGAGTGTAATTTCAGATCATGAGGTCGTGCCATGAGATGGTGCTGACTCTTCCCATTCAGCTGGATGTCCTGACTTTCATGTTAATGTGTCCCCCTAGCTCATTCTGGGGATGAATCGACTTGGCATAGGCTGGGGGCCACTCACACAGAGCACTGACTGCAGCTAAGCTGGGAAGCGTATTTGAAGGTGAGTTGCGTCGGGTGGGACACACAATTGTGTCCCCATTTGGTGGCCCTGAGAGCCACGCTTGCCACCCATCCGTGGAGGGTCCCGTCCATCAGCAGCACAGACCTCCGTGGCGGGCAGCTTCCGTCTCGGCCCACGGCCAGGCGGTGCCCTCTGATGGGTAACATGCCCACTGTGTCTGTCCTCCCAGGGGCTCCCGTACAAACACCTGATCACTCACCACCAGGAGTCTGCGCATCGCCACCTCATCAGCACGTACGACGACCACTACAACCGGCACGATTATAACCCAGGCCTGCCCCCGTGCCGCACCTGGAGTGGACACAAGTTGCAGTGGCTCCCAGAGAAAGCCGACTTCCCCCTTCTGGGTATTTTTATCATCCAGGGTTTCCCCCTGTACTGGGCTGTAAGGGGTCCACACCTGCACAGGGCTGGCGTGTGCCCTGCTCACGCGGAAGGATGCGCACGGGGAACCCCAGCTCCAGGGGAGCACTAGAATGAGATGGTGGGGAAGAGTCCTATCTGCCCCCCAGAGCTGCCACCTGCTCTCTCGTCTGGGGCGAGGCTGGCTGTGTGATGGCGCCCTTGGCTGTGCACTGAGGCGGCAGGTTTACCTGGCCCACAGGTGGCAGGAGCGACATCACTGCACACTCGTATCAGTCATCCACCCTGTAAATCGTGACTACGTCCCAGGTACTGTGCCTTGATGTGGCATCCGGAGACACAGCAGTGACAAATAGGAAGGAATTCCTGCCCTCAGGGGGTTGTCATCCCAGTGGGGAGATAGATTAGACATTGTTAATGAGTCAGAGAACTTAAGATCTAGTAAGTAAGAAAATTTTGGACCGGGATGTGTACTACGAAGAAAACAGATAATGACTAGAAAGGGAGATGGGTCTGCGTGGACATCCCCGGGGTGGACCGATGAGGGAGACGGGTCTGCGTGGACATCCCCGGGGTGGACCGATGAGGGAGACGGGTCTGCGTGGACATCCCCGGGGTGGACCGATGAGGGAGACGGGTCTGCGTGGACATCCCCGGGGTGGACCGATGAGGGAGACGGGTCTGCGTGGACATCCCCGGGGTGGACCGATGAGGGAGACGGGTCTGCGTGGACACCCTCTGGGTCTTTACTGTGGAGGCTGAAATGAGAACTGTGTGGGGACCAGCGGAAGGCGTAGAGGAAGACCCCCGAGGGCTCGCAGGCCACAGTAAGGAGCGAGGGCTTTGTCCTGCTCCTCCTGCGGTACCAAGACTTCGAAGGGCCGTCTTAGGAGAGCGCTTTGATCTGATTTACATTCCAAGCTACCTTCATCCTTTGCATGCTTCCCTCTGTAGTCCTATCCTTCACTGCAAAGGGACATAGGTCAGAGAGTGAGCTGCTTGTCACTCTGCATTACTTTCGCCAGGGTTTCTCTTAGAGAGCTGTCTCATAAGCTCATAGTGCTCTCTTCTCTATTGGGGGGGACAGTTCCCTAGGAGCCGGCGAGACCAACCTCAACCAGGTCGAGGGGCTGGCTTTGCTGAGGCCTCTCTAGCTGTGCCTGGTCCCTCCTGAGTACACAGGGAGCAGGCCCCACCCTGAGGCTCTCCTGCAAGCCTCTCCCCTCCAGTGCACTGCCAGCTGAGGTCCCCGATAACACAGCCTGGGGAAACCGCCAGGGTCCCCGCCACCCGCTTCTGGCCTGTTCACCCAGTCCCTGCTCTCCCTTGCAGCTCCCCCTACAAACTATGGCCTCTACGAGCAGCTGAAGCAGAGATGGCTCGCAGGCAAGGCTGGCCTGAGAGAGAGCGTTTACACTTCGTCCTACCCCAGACCACCGCTGTGCGCTCTGTCCCCGCGGGAGCACGCCATCCCCGTCCCTCCCCCTCGCTTGCAACCTGTCCCGCACTTCTGAGAACTGCCACCCCACGGGCAGCACAGGCAGAACCAACTGGAGACCCACTGCTCTATTGGACCTGCCAGACAGCAGGAGGCTGCACATACACCCCGAGGTTTAAATCTGGCCCATTGAGGGGCCCTTAGAATCATGGTCTGTGTTTTACGATTCCCGCCCCTCCCCCACACCCACAGAGTCCTTCGTTTTCCATCCGACAATTAAAGCTGTTTGACAATGTGGGGTGTCACGCGTGTGCCAACGACAGACTTAGAATGTCAAGAAACGGGAAGGCCCTTTCGGTTCCGCTCCCTCGTTTCACATGAGGGGAAACCGAGGCCCAGGGAAGTAAGGTGACTCCTTCAGGTTCTCACAACTTGGCACAGGCCCTCTGGAGGTGTCTGTCCCATGGGGGAAATGAATCTGACTACGAGATGCATCCCAAAAACTACACGGAATAGTCAACCGTGGTTATGGGGTGGACAAGGAAGGGGTCCAGCGAGGCTGTCATTGACTCGGCCGGGGTGGGGTGCTCTGAACCCGAAGGTTCAATTGAAGGGAGGACACACAATGAGTCCCCTCCACCTTGGAGCTCTTGAATCTTTCTAGGAGTTTGGGGATGGGGAATTTTTTTTTGGAGGGAGGGTGGACCCCCTGACAGGACAACTCGGGTTCTGTCCTGGTGCGGAGACTCGGGGCTGTCCTCGCCCAGGATGCAGCCCCCGGAGGCATGTCCTGCCACCGATGTGGGGGCCGGCCTCGGGCTGAGAACGGCATGCCCCTAATCTCCCGTCTCTGACTGTCAGGATTTGTTATGCATAATTATTGGCTGAATGAACGGACGAACCATCGTCTCTTTGGGCTCCTCAGTGAACCCACACTCTGCCCTGTTTGTTACATCCCACCTTTGTTCCCTGACTTGACCCTCTGTTCAGCCGCGTCCTGTCCATGTAAGCGGGTCCAAACCTGTAGAAAAATGTTTATAAAAGTTAACTAGAGTTTTGTTTTGTTTTGTTTTTTTGAGCCAAACAGACTGAAAAAAAAAAAAAAGCTTCCCAGAATGACAGTTGGCAATTTCTTTTATATATTTAGAATTAAGGTGAGAACATAAGGAAGATTACATGAAAAGGTGGCAGCAAGCAAGGCAGGAAAATCCCTCTGATCGGATTACAGAATAGTTAACAGGATCATGTGCTTGCTTGAGGGTGATTACACTTCCCAGGGGTCTGAAAAAAAGGTATTTCAAAGGCGTGTTGACGTAGATGCACAAAAACAATAAACAGGGCTTGCTTAGGTTGAAGATAAACCTCGTATAGGTCCCGGGGGGCATGACTCTCCACTATGACCTGCCCAGTTAGGAATTCACGATCAGATCACCCAGTGAGGTTACTTTTAGATTTATTACAGAGCCCCCGTTCCTCCCCCCATTTACATTCCCAAAACCCCTGCCCCAAGGCAGGCCTCCGTGTCCAGGCCCCAATCCATCCTGATGCCCGAAGACCCCGTATTCTTCCCAGAGCTCAGCTCATCCCATTCCTGACCTAGGGGGAAGTGAGCCCCTTGGTTCCTTCTGCCAACCTCGGAGAGAAAAATCGGCTCTCTGCTTCTCCATCCCTTAGAACCTGGCCACCCATCCATGCCACTGGTATCGATGCATCTCTACTGGTTCCACCAGCCTATCTCACATGTTCCACTGCTAAAAACGAACAAAAAACCAAATAAACAACCGTTGTTTCTTCTGCTTTGCAGAAAAATGAATGCATAGAACTATTCTTCCATGAATTTTTCTCTACATTTTTTGGCCCTTGCTACTACATTCTAACAAATAATTAAAGGGAGAAAAAAGGCAGGAAAAAAGTGAGTTAATATTTATTGTGGGGTGAGCATAAACTAAGAGTTAAAACCTGGGCCTACGTGGGGTTATCTCTGTTGTGTCCAGAATAACCAGACCCAACTTGAGTGCTCTTAACCAGGAGACAGTTTATTAGCCGGCGGCTGTCCTTGCAAAGGAGCAGCCCCTAATTGCCAAGATACAAGGATTTTAAGCCCCAAATCCCATTCCTCATTCTGTCTTAAACGCAAAGGTCCATCTTTCTCCTATTCACTACCTGTCAACCCACTGGTCAGGTGTGCAAGCGGGAAGTACAGAAGCAGAAAGCTTGTGTTAGAATGTTATGTTCCTATGGGTGATTGCCTATGTTCCCATGGGCAATAGCCAGTGTTCCCATGGGCGATGGCCAAACAGTAATTTTCAGCTTATATACAATTGATTATTTTTCATGCCACGCAAGCAAGCAGGGTTACACAGGCTAAAATTGGCAGTTAGCGTATGAGCTCATTGTTACAAGTTTCATGATTGTTACAAGTTTCATGAATGTGGTTAGGGGTTCCAGAAACTAGGCCTAAGTTATAGACTTCCTTTGTCCAGTTTCAGGTTTTAATTATTCTTTAACCCTTTCACATTTCAGCGGGCTATTACAATCTCCTTGAGTTGCCACCACCGCCATCCATGAAAGGTGCCCCAAGGTAGGGACACCTGTCTGATAGCTGAGGAAACAGGAAGTAGAGATGAACTGACTGGCCAGAGGCCACATAGGGAATGAGTCCTAGAGCTGAGATCTAAACCCAGCAGGTTTCAGACAAATACAGGACAGAGTGACATTGGGGGGACAAGCTTACAGAACTCAGGACCTTGGGGACCAGTGGGTCATAAGAACACTGGGCATGTGCTGAAGTGAATAGGGTGTCAGGAGAGCAGTAATGGGGGCATGGTGACATGGCCTAGTCAGGGAAGGGACATTGCAGCTGAGGCCAGAACAGTAGGAGGGAGCAGCCAAGCTCGGGGACAGGTGGGCAGGGAGGAGAAGGTGGCTCTGGCTGTAGAGGGATAGCACGTGTGCAGCTGAGTTAGGAAGGAGCTTGGCAGGTTTTTCAAAGGCACAGGAAGATGGCGTGTTAGTTTCTTATTGCTGCTGTAACAAATACCACAAATGTAGTGGCTTGAAGAAACTCAAGTTTATTTATTCTCTCACAGCTCTGGAGGGGCGACGTCCACGATGGGTCCTCAGGGCCGTGTTCCTTCTAGAGACTCTGGGGTGGGTCATTCCTGGCCTCTTCCAGTGTCCCAGGGACACCTGCATTCCTGGACGCACGGCCCCTCCCTCCATCTGCAGAGCCAGCGGCTAGCATCGTCTTCCCCCTCTGCCTCTGTCTTGTAAGGACCCCGTGATCACACTGGGCCCGCTAGGGAATCCCCGATCTGAAATTTCTAGTCACATCTGCAACATGCCTTTTGAATATACACTAACATATCCACAGGTTCCGGGGAGGAGAATGTGGCCATTTGGGGGTGCATTATTCAGCCAGAACCGTTCTCTGCACTTGACACATGCTCTTACATGAAGCCCCCAATGCATCTCGTCCTTTCCAGAAGGTGGAGGGGGTAAAGGTGGACGAAATGGAGCCCAAGGCCTATGGCAGCTTGCACCTGGTCAATGTTCCTTGGCCTGCCCCTCCCCCGCACCGCCCACACAGTTTTCAAAGCGACTGTTAATGCTACAGCGGCTGGAAGTATTGGAGCCAGATTAAGTGTTTGGACTAAAACATTGCAACCAGATCAACAAAGCAGGTTGCACAACCACCAGCAGCGACCTTGTTAGGAGCATTTGTTTAGCTTTCCGAAGGAGTAGAAAGGAGAGAGACATGGAGCCAGCGAAGGTCTCTTTCCTACATTCCTGCCTCGTCTCGATTCTCAACCTGGAGCCTCTGCATTGCCAGGTGGGGGTGGGGGGACTTGTTAAAACACGGATGCTGGGCCAGCCCTCTGATCAACAGTGCTGGGTACTGAGTTAGCAGGTGGTGCTGATGCTGCTGGTCCGGGGACCCCACGCTGGGAACCACTCCTGTAGGCTGAGCTACTTGGCGCTTCTTTTATTTGTGCGATTTCTTTGCAATAACAGATCAATGTAGTAAACATCTGGACCCGATGTTCCCTCAGACTTCCTCCAGCAACAGCAGGAGCCTATTAGATGACTCTAGAATGTTCTTACAAAGCATTAAAATGAGCAGTGCACTGCCAGGCGATGGGACAGGGTGGTGGCATATTTAAGAGCTCTGACAGGCGTGCCTTAGAACTCCAGGTCCACCGCTTACAGGCTGCGTGACCTTGAAGAAGTCACTGTCCCTCTCTGAATCTCCTCTTCTATTAACGATCATCTCTAATTCAGACAAAAATGCTGAGCCCAGAGCTTGGTGCAGAATAAATCCTCCATCCATGGTGGTGGCGGCTGTTTGACATTCGAAGACAATAGGTTTAATCGCAAAAACAGTCAAGGTCACTGAGGACAACTCAGACCTGAGGCCGAGTCTACTCATGTGGCAGTCGTTTCCTTCTTGGAGATGTGATGCTTTGACTATGGAACCCACCCCCTTTGGAGCCAAGCCTGGGGGTCACCCGTGGAGCCCGGCCCACTGGATGGGACAAGCCTGCCCCCTGGTGGCCAACTCGACACCAATTTATAGGTGCCTGTGGTGTCAAGTTCAGGGTTCCTGGGTGACGGGCATTAACTCTGGCGAGCAGACGTGAAAATAATTCAAAGCCAGATTTTCTCTTGGAAAGCGTCTGTTGGCTGGTGGTGAGCTTGGGGATAGCGAGGCTCACTTCGAGGTCCCAGTTCCAGCCAGACATTACCTTATGGGGCTCGTCACTTCTTGTCCCTGAGCCCCGGTTTCTTCATCAGAGGGACGGGGTGCCTCTGAGGTCCCGGGGAGAATGGGATGGACCTGCAGATACTCCACGTGCTCCCGAATCCAGCTCTCACACTGGGTTTTGTTTTCTCCTGGACTGAGACTCCCATGGCCACTGGTGCCAAAGGAACTTGGCTGCAGGCGGTTTCTGGGAGCCCAGGTCCCCAACTCCCACCCCAGGGGTCTTCCCGCCTCTGCCCACTGCAGGGATCCTCCCCACCAGAAAGGACGGTCTCCTCCGTCTGGTGCAAAACCGCGGCTTAAGGTCAAGTTGCTTGGGCACCTTGCTCCATGAGACCTACCGCACAGCCTCCAGAGCCAGGCGGGGGACAGGGAAGGGACAGGGAGGCCCGAACTGCACAGGAACCCCCATCGGGAACGGCTGCCTCTCGGTCCATGCTGCACGGTGCTGAGTGGCTTTGGTGTTGCTAGATCTTTTTTTTTGATTATTTCTCTGCCCCCTCCCCCCGCCGCCCCAAAGGATGGTGGAGAGTAAGTTGTGATATAAAATCTGATTTTTAAACTCTGGCCACAAATTTTACTTTTTCAAACATCGTCCCAAAACATGTCTGTGGGACACATTCGGCTTTCAGAATGCCACCTTGTATGGGAAAACAGTCCAGCGGGAAACTCTGGCCTGACCCTATAACCCTGACGAAGTCAGAAGGGCAACTGCCTTCCTCCGAAGCAGGCCCGAGACTGACTCGGTCACGGGCCCCGGCTTTGAAACTTGCTGGAGCTGGAACCCTCCACACCTGGCACCACCAGGTATAAAATATAAACTCCATAGGAGACATTGGCAAAAGGCTATTGAATGATTTTACATGCATGGAAAAATATATTGCGTAGGCTCTTCCGTACTTTATTTTTTTCACTCATCAGTGGAACCGTCTGAAATCTACCATGGCCCCGACAGACTTCATACTTCCTTTTGTTCTCGCCTGCTCTGTTCCCTTTGCTCCTAGTCTTAGGAAGTCAGCACCGGGCTC